TCGAAGAACTTCTTGCGTGGATCATTGGCGGAAAACCCATAATGCTATTTCCAAAACGCACATCCCACGAGTTGTTTTCTCCCGAATCAACTTTCTCAGCACGGAACTACCCGCCCCGCCCTTTTCCCATTATGGTCCATTTTAAGAAAAGTGTAGTCCCTAGGTGGGGAGGCGCCTACTACTACTACTACCACTACTACTACTACTACCACTACTACTACTACTACTACTACGACTACTACTACGACGACGACGACAACTACAACTAGTACAACTAGTACAACTAGTACAACTACAACAACAACAACAACAACTACTACTACGACGACGACGACGACGACGACCACGACCACCACCACCACCACCACCACCACCACAACAACAACAACAACAACAACAACAACTACTTTCAAAACAAGTGTCATCTGTCCTTCGTCACTGGATTTCGGCCCAGGACGGCGTTGTACCACACAGGGCCCTCATTCGGATGCGGTTCCCGCCATTCAGGACATCTGATCTAACCGGGTGTGCCGATGCAATCACTCATGTCACAGAGACGTACCTGCAAGGAAGTTGCTGCAGCCCAGTCACCAGCACCTTCTTCATGTCAACCAGAGCCTCCTGAATCAAAACTGCACATTGTGACTCTCAAGGCAAGCTGTATTGCTCCGTTGGCGTTGTATGACATCATCCTGCAATGTGAGTATGGCCCCGCCCAATCTGGTGATGCACGCTGACGGACATCACATGACATCACTGTTACCCACATTCTCATCATGTGCTGTGTGTGTGTGTGTGTGTGTTTTTTTTCTTTTTTTTCCGGCGATCGTGGCTGCATCAGGACATGTCCACCTGATTTAATCAGATTGACTTCACATCCAAGTCGCTTGATCTTCGAGTCTTGGATGAAAATGTTCTACGAGCCCCAATGCTGTAAGGGGGGAAAACGGCCTTGTTCAACGGGCCACATTCTGCGGCGATGCCGTGTCTCAACGGAGACACGCAAGCAGCTGTCCGTTGGACGGGTCCTTCTCCATTACATCAAGCAATTATTAGAATGGCAGTGAAGGGTCATGAAGATGCGGTGACTATGCTGCGCGCACAAGGGAAAAGGCCTCGACTACGGAAGCTGGATGCTTCAAAGCAGGGTGGAGCTTCCTAGGGTCTCCATGCAGAAGTTGCAATTTCATAGCAAAACCAACATGCCGGGTAGGCAACACGTGCACATGCAAAGAGAAGAGAGAGAGAGAGAGAGAAAGCGAGGGAGAGCGAGAAGCAAACAAAATACAAGAGTTGCAATCTTCATAATCTCGCAGGAGTGGGTCGTAGAAGGCCGTAAGGCTTGTTGCGGCCAATAGCTCCTCCCAACCTGGTCAGTCAGGAACCTCCCGACCCGGCTGAACAAACTGGGCTGGCACGTTTATGCCAGATTATCTCGACAATACATGAAACAGGGAAGTAGTTCCTGCTTCTTTGCAGACTTTCATATTGAATTCGTCCATCTATTGTGACAAAATGCGAGTGCAACCAGAAGGCTACGACTTCCAGGTAAACGCCCAGTCGGTCATGTATGCTTTGCGTATCCTTGCCTGCGTTAGAGCCAACGCGGCTTCATGGCCTAAGGCCTTGCTGCGCTGGAAGCCATGAACTCATCTGGTATGCATGTGACATCATTTCAATAAGGCTGCAATGTGCTCAGCAAATGCACCGACTGCAGCCGTACGCCGGCCAGCTGGCTCAGCAAGTCTTTCCTCCGCAGGGAGGAGTATAAAGGTCTGCAAGAGGCTAGTATCTGCAAGATCCCTGGTGCACTGCACACTGCAGGACTAGGCGATAAATTGTCAACAGCAGCGTCTGCAAAGGCCACTAGACAGAGCTTCAGTTGCTTCAAGTCTTGGATACGTGATACTGTCACGGGACTCATGCAAAGCTGAAAGCAACTCAAGGCTGCAAAACACAACTTGACAAGTTTCAGCAAAGCGTCATTTGTTTGAGCTGTACTTCAACGTACCCTTGGAAGTGACTCTGGTTGCCTTATCTGTACAGACCCGAAAACGCAAGCGTGATTTCAATTCATGAGCTGCTGAGTTAGCCCATTGGAAATGGTTGGCCAAACCTTGACAAGTTTAAATCTAGCTCATTACTTGGCATCTGCATTTGCAAGTACAAGCGGCGGATCAGCCATGTCTGGTCATAGATGATTTTGCCAACCTCAACGTTCATTCTAAACTGTTCATCTTGACAAGGTTGGGAGCCCAAGCACACTCTGTACGATTCGCCTGGCAATCGGGCAAGAGGCATCCACAGCCCGGGCTTGACCACGCAGTCGCAAACATCCCATTAGAAACTCGTCAACTTCCACAGCACCGCCTGGACATTTGCAGGTCGTTCACAATCATGGAGCTTGGAAGAATACCAAGGAAACCTCTGAGAAACTGATGGTTCTACTCGCAACTTCTAACTCTAGTGTCCATGCGGCCGTACTTGCGACCTGGCAAGGTCCGGGATGAAATCGCAACCTCCACACTGGACAAATCCTTTGAACTCATTTTGTTCGAGAGCGTCAGTGGCGACCAAACAAACATTGAGTGAAATCCAAACCAGGTGGACCCGCACATGATGCACATGTATCTGATCAGTGGCGACAAACCCATCACGCCCTGCTTCATTCTCCGACCGACACATCTAAAAATTCTCACCTGCGCTCCTGAAGTGGGTGATTACAGAAACTTGGACTTGCGCCTGGTTCTCAGATTGAGAAGCAGAACGCTTCATGTTGGTGGTTCTTGCTTGGCCCTGCCTGTCACCTTCAACCTGTTTGATTCATCACTCCTGCTACCTCACAGTTGGCGCTGGTGAATGCTGCTGCTCTGCGCTGCAAGAGCTTTCAATAGGGATTTGCTCAGATCCCCCGTTGCAACAATTCAGAACAGCTTGTGATGACTGCCCAGGAAACTCTCAATTTCCCTCGCAGCCTTCGTCCAAATCAAGGAGCTTGAAGAACGACCAAGCATCCCAAACATCAAGACCTATGAGGAATCACGTGGATCAACCTCTGCACATGTCTCCATACTCACGCATGCAAGAGTATAGCTTCGAGGCCTATTGAAGTGAAATATTCTCGAACATCAGGGTCATTGATCTTCTCTTGAAACCTGATCAAAAGCATTCTCAAAACCGTCAAAAAGGCGGCATTGCGCGCTTTGTTTGTGACTTTCACCCCTCTTGTGCTCGCAGTGTTTATTGCAAAGTTAACCAGCAACTTTCTCCGATGCAACTCTACAAACAGCTTCCGGCTCCCAGGCTCCACTACATAATCCTTTTTCACACGAACGTGTCTGACTATTCACCACAAACAGATTCTGATCTATCGTGGAATTACATGTAATCTTGCTTATCTGATGAAAAAAATGTGACACGCCACAATCCTGTACATTAAATGCTGCTCAAAAAACATGTCAAAAGTGATCGTCTCTTGCTCAGCACCAATCTCGACAAAGAGGTCCAAGAGTTTGTCGCGGTGCGCCTATGATAACGTAAGGCAACTTGTTCTGACTTACACATAGCTTCCTTGAAGTCACATCGGCTTCAAGTGAAGGAAAGCGCCAGGTTTATCTTTACGCATCTTTCAAGCATCCGCCTCCTTCTCCTCCAAAATGTTCTGGACCATCGACGCTTGGTCATTTTGAGCAGACTCAATGGCAGTCCTCAGCTGGAACTGCCAACATCCCTCGTCATGTCGAATGTTTCTCTACCTGCGCTCCACCTCACCGCCAAGGCCATCTACTGGCTTTTTTCAAGGCCCCAGCAACTAAGGCAAGCACTGGCAGAAAACCGCAGTTAACACCTGAGGCTGTGCGTTCGCCGACAACGCCGACAACGCCGCCATTCGTAGACGACGCCAACTTGTTCATAGGTTGAGGTTACATCTTCAGGAATTAAAGAAGTACAGTGCACCGAGATGAGCGCACGCGGCAATCGGAGAGAAAAAAATGGCTACTATACCCACACATTCGTTTCTGGGCAAGCCTCCAGTTGGCGATGTAGCCTGATGTGATTGGCAACAATGGAGTTTCATCTAAAAAATCATTTTTTCGGGCACGTGGCGGCAAACCTTGCAAGCTTGTATACCCCGTCGGCGGAGTCGCGTGGGGGTTCCCTTCGGCTAAGGACATTTTGCGGTCCCCTCCCGTATGTTGTCTGTGAAAAGGGCGGCGGCACCTACAATGACTTCCTCTTTTTTTGGCAAAATGTGATTGGCAGAATGTGAAGGGTTGCAAAGGATCACTTGCTTCTCATTTTTGGTTGGTAAATCGGTTCTCGTCAGGCAGACACCTGTCGTTAGCACTTTCGCCAAGCTTGCTAGGTGATCAAGCGAAAGCTGCGATACAATGGGTGCTTTTGTGCAAAGAAGGCATTAAACAGTTTCTGATTCGAGCCGAACCATTTCACATGTCAATGAACCTTAACTTGTTGCGCACCGGGCTTCATGGCGAATGCTGACTTAAAACTTAAACTGCAGTTTTCGCACCATGTGCTTGGTCTTTGATAGGGCACCCACAGCAGCGACAAAAGCGTGACCTTTGCTGGACTCCCCCGCTCCAGCCTCTGAACTCTGGGTATTCCCAAGGCTCGCACAATGCATTGGCCTGAGCCACGCCGACAAGGAAGCAACTACGGAGCGCTCCTTCTTAATATCTGCTAAGTTCTTGGGGCCTGCTACTGCCCAAGAGGGGCCAGCGAAGTGCCCCACACTGAATGCTTCCGAAGTCCTGACCAACCCTGGTTCCAGCCAGCATCGATGGGTCTGAACGTATCACAACGCTCGAAACGCCCTCAGCACAATTCTCAAAACCTGCAAAAACGGGAAGAGCCAGCAATTTGCCCTTCGCGAAAGCCCTGTGTACAAACAACGCCTTTCAACGAGCTCGAAGCCCTACTCGCCCTTGGCTGCGAAGCCTGACTGTCAAGCGGCCCGAGAACGACAGAAGCCTCTCAACCTTAGCACTTGCAAGTCCTTCGCTGACAGGTCTAAGACTATCAGAGTTTTCGAGAGCTGCCTGCGCAGAAGAGCCCTCCAGTGGCCCTGGGCCCCTTCCCAAAGCCCGGCGATAGCAGCATCTGAGCCCTTGAAAAACAAGGCAGGCGCAGTGGCCAGCGTTGGTGGGGCCAAATGTACCCCCACGCCTGTGTGGCCCGCATCCCTTGCGAAATGTCCATCACTAAGGTCTCCTCGAAAACCCCAGTACCCCAAAGCCTGTGAAGCTGGGACACTTTGGCTCTGAGAACGATGCTGGACGGGGAGTAGCCAGTCAGACATCAAAGAAACTGAGGCCAGATCAGAGGCATCATCCCTTCAAAGCCGTGAGTTTCGTCTTTTTCCGCCCCCCACAAAACGACACAAACACATCGTCTTGCGTGACACCCAACTCCATCCAAAGGCATTTTGGCCTCATAAGAAAACGTGGTGAAATGGCCACCCTTGAGAAAGGCACGTAAATGAACTCCTTCTCCACATTCCCTGAAGCAACCATATACATGTAGTGCTCTGCCCACTTGGTGGTGCGTCCGTGCAACCACTGCCAAAAATTCACTGCAGTCTATCTCAAACGGACCAGAACATCTGGAAACTCCACAAAGGGACCCACCAGCACATCTAACCATGAAGGCAAAAAACAAGAGGTACAAGGGATGGGACAGGCTCCTGACTCAAATTGTCACCTCTTGTTTTTCCTGAAGCTTTTAGGTCTTGATAAGTTTCGTGATTTTTTGCGATTCCTGGGAAGGACATCTATCCGAACAATTTTGCTCCAAGGGCCTGTCCAGGGCCTTGGCCCGCTTCCGTCAAGCTTGCGCAGGGGGGTTGTCGAGGCAACAGGCAACATAGAACACGACGAGCTGTTCCTTGACGGACGCCAACCAGCAGCCACCCCACACAGCCACACAGCTGAGCTCAAATGTACCTGTGCTTCCCGACATGCGTTCGCACATCCACGCACCACTGCAGTCTGGCAGCATCCACGGGGTTTCTTCTGGCCGACAAAACGTTCTCAGGTATTGCGGGCCGGCCAACGCCTAAAGCGCAACAGTTCCAAAGAACGTGCAACTGTTGCTGCGCCGCAAAAAGGGCACGTTGGTCGATTTGTTGAAACAACTGCTGCAGGAGAAGCCGAGCCTCCACTGAAGTGCACTAGCTACTCCCTACATCCACCACCATCCCACTAGCACCACCACTAGTGGAGATTAACGGTGAAGTCCTGAAAACCCTAGCGGACAGGACCGTTCCACTCAAAACTTGCCCCCCTTTTCAAGTGGTCTTTATCCGAAACGGCAACGGTTACAACCATGCGTTTCAAGACAGGTTTGTGTACAACATATCGGAACTACAGTTCCTACAAAAACACCTTCGATGTTTTTGTT